TGATAAAAATGCCAGTGACATGAGGTACTATCCCCTTTTTGTTTTTTATTTAAAATAATAATTATCAAATCTTGATCAGAAACAACGAAGAAATTTTAAGTCATTCGTTTTTTTTTTTCCTGCAAGATTTTTAAACAGAACTTTAGAAAATGATTTCAATATGTTAAAAGAAAGACGTTTTTCCCCTCTGGAACTATCAATTCTCCAAGGCTGATGATCTTCAAGGTGCACATATTTTGTCTTTATTAGTTGAAGATCATCTGTCTTTCAATATATTTGAGTGTCTCAAGTAAACTTCAAAAAATGCATTGGAAAAAGTGAAAAATAAAGATTCAGATTTTGCCTCAATACGCAGTAAACATACAAAGTAAATTTTGACTGTCATAGCCTCTGTCACCTTTTAAACGTGAACAAAAAATTCATACACAAAACTTTAGAATTTTTTTTTTTGAGAAATAAATATTATCACAGATCATCTGGCATCCTAAGATTCCTGAAATAAAATCTGCTTCCAGGAACAACTTAAAAGTTTAGTAAAACATTGCTGTGCCACAAATTAAACTTCCTTACTTTTTTGTCTTTGAATAATATCCCCCTTCAAAAGTGTCTTATTTATGTGTGAGTGACTTCAATTCTTATCTCTGTCACAACAAAGGACTTTTGAGTTAGGCAACTTTTTAGTTTGAAAATTTTGCTGGCTTAGAACTTTTTTGGGCCTCAGGGAGAGTGCATATTTCCCTAGAAGCAAGGTTGATGCTAAACCATTGATTTTTCATAAGGGAGCACACAGAGGATGAATATTCAGGAGAGATTTCAGGAAGCCCTACGTCACTTTGTTCCATCAGCTACTGATTGAAATGAACAAAAGAGAAATGTGAGACCAGGATTTCCTGAATTAGCTTCTATAAAGAGTGACACATGATGACCTGAGGCATCACTCCCGGGACCAGAAACTTCACTGCAAACGGAAGATGCCCTCTGATCGGTCCTCTTATCTCCTTATGGAGAAATCCATCTAAAACCAAGCTCATAACTCCATGATAACAAGAAGGAATAGTTGAACAGGACTAAACTATGATGCGGAATGAGAACTATACTGTGCTAGCCAAACAAATTTATTTTGGGTTATTTAGCAGAACGTACACACGTGCCACTGTGATCTGCCCCTCATTGTCAGTGTTTCGGATTGACATTTTTAATAAGTGCTGT